CCCCCCTATCCAGCACTGCCCCCATCCCAGTATGGTGGGGGGCAGGCAGAAGAGGAAATGGGAATAAGGGGGCTTTCCAAGCCTAAGCCATTTCCCCGTTGCTCCCCCAGTTCTTCAGAGGGTTTGGTGGCATTGCTTCCTGAATCCACCCATGTCCTTACCCCACCCCAGTCCAGCAGGGCCCCCACTCCCACCAGGCTGCCTACTCCAGCCACCCTCCTTGTCTCCGGCCCACCCTTGTTAGTTGCTGTTAAGTCAATTTTGGCTCATGCAACTCCCTTGGGGTTTTTAAGTCTGTAACTTTATGGAAACAGAGGCCTGTTTTGGGGTACCTCCGAGTGGGTTGAGACAACTGGCCTTTCCATTAATAGTGGTGAACTATTTGAGTCACCCCAGGTATCTGGATGCCCGCTCCGCCCCCGCAGTCATGCTTCGCGTAAATCAGGTGATGCACTTGCTGGTGGGAGCTTTTTGCTTGGATGCAACCCCAACTCCCTGCTGTGCCCATGTAGCCCTGAGTGGCCTAGCCCCTGCCACCTTTGTGACCTCATCCCCCCTTTCCAGCCACACTACCTGCCAAGTCCTGGCCACCCCAGGGCCTTTATACCTCCTGCCTCTCCTGTCTGGAGTGCTCCTCTGATGTCACCGCAGCACAGCCCCACCTGACTGAGGGCACCCACGCCCTTCCTCTTTGGTCCACCTTTGGGTCTCATCGCACTCTGACGAGGTCCATGGTGGGTGGCTGGGCTGGGGCTGTGCATAGATGTTCTGGTGCCCAGGGACAGGCAGGAGCTGATGTCTGGGCGTGGACTGTCTGCAGGGAGGAGCCCCTTTGTCCTGGGGCCTGGTTCTCCAGTTTAGCCCACACAAACTCCGACTCTGCCCGTCACTTGACCTGGAAACCGATCAGTCCTGGGGAAGAGAGGGGGTAGGCCCTGTTTCATTGGGGCAGCCAATGAATGGGAAGGTCTTTGCCCTGGTCAAACAGCCAGGAGTCTGGAGTTGAGTCAGCCCTGCTCTGCCCTCCACCCATAGGAGGTGCCAGGTAAGGAGGAGACAAGTCTGCAGGTGACCACACAGTGTGAGCCACTGTGGCTGTGGTTCTTGAGGTGTCGGGAGAGGGAAAGGGTAGAACATAATTTGAGTGTTTTGAATTGGGGTTGGGGCTAGCTGGGGATGGTCCCCTTGGGGAGAAAGGGCCATTTTTGAAAGTGTCAATGTCAATGTTGGGACTGAAAAGCCAACAAGGTCTAGCTGTGTTAGAGTTTGGGTTAGGTCCTAGGGCACTGGACAGGGCTCTGAGCGGCCTGGGGCAGGGTCTCCCCTTCAGGTCTCAGCTTCTGACCCAGAGGTTGGACCACATCCTCAAGACCATTTGCACTCATCTCTGCCGTTCTCTGGCCTGCGTCGGGCCCCACCCAGGGGGCTCCCCAGCCATGTGCTACATGGGCAGGGCCCCAGAAGAATGTGCTGACTAGGTGAAGCCCTGCCCACTCCCGTCATCCCAGGCTGAGCTGGGGCTGGTATCCTATGATGGAGAGGCATGACTGCTGGCCTTGGGCTGGCTGTGGGCAGGGGGCGACCTGCATGGTGGCAGGGACGGTCCACACAACTGTGGCATCCAAGGCTAGGCTGCCTGGAGTCCCGCCAGCCCCCGGGTAAGAGTGGGTGTCCTCCACTCACCCCATGGAACTGGTGTTCTTTGCTTCTCCCTGGGCTTCAGGGCAGAGGTGCACCCCCAAGGGTACTGGGCCCTCCTTTAGCTGAGCCTGAGTGTTGACTCAGTCTACGGGGCTCTGTAGCCATTTGCAGGCAGGGAAACAAACACTGGCCAGTCACACATTGGGAGCAACCAGGCTTCCAAGCAGGTGACCAATGACAAGTGACTGTGTTGCCTTCGCTTACCTGTCTTTATGTTGAGTGATACCAGCTCTTGCCTTGTTGAGCTCAGCCCCTGTTTGGTTAGGTATTCGGGAAGTCCCTAAAGCAGGACATAAAGTAGACCCCACAGAGACACAGCCCTCCCACGCTGACCCAAAGCCCCTACCTCTCCAAGGTCCCAGCCCCCATCTCACCTGCCTCAGTTTCCCAGAGGTGGCTTTGAATGCGCATACCTGGTGACGGGTCAGTAAGCTCTCATGCCAAATGCAGAGTTGGGCTTTTCCGAGCCAGGTCCCTCTTAGTCTGAGGCTTGCCCTGATGGTGGGGCAAAACCCACCAGCCTTTGGGCCATCTAGATTTAACAGTTGGCACAGCTTTAGAGGTAGGCAAGTCTTTGTGGAAGATGGGGAACAGCCTGGTTCCTTGTGTTAGGGACACAGCTTACTGTGTGGCTGCGCTGAGGGTGACCAGGGGCCCCTCCACTTAGTCAGTCCTGTGTGCCAAGTGCATTCCTCCCCTGGGTCTGTCCTCCTCTTGTTGTGAACTCATTGTGTGACTGCAGGCAAGTGGTCCGCCCTCCCTGAGCCTTGGGGTCCTCGCCTCTCATGGGGTCACAGGCTATGGCGAGGACCAGTGGGAGAGGCTATCTGAGGCCTCCACTTGGGGACCTCCAACCAGAGCCACCTGGAGAGATGGCTGGCCTTGACTCACCTTTTACGGTGTCTCCTAGGCCGATTTTCTGAAAGGATTGCCCGTCTACAACAAAAGCAATTTTAGCCGATTCCATGCTGACTCTGTGTGCAAAGCTTCGGTGAGTGGGGCTGCTGGGGTTAGGGGCTGCCCGGTGGGAGGCAGGCTTATTCGGGACCCACGCACACGCACACGCACACACACACATACTTCTACACCTACCCACCCACCCACTACCTGCATGGACTGCCCGACAGGAAGGCCTCTCTGCTAGCTCAGCCTCTCTGGACAATGCACTGGGCTGCCTACCTTGTGTGCAGTGTGGGGACCCAGTTTCTTATCGACTCTTCTTGCTCTCCCACAGAACCGACGCCCCTCAGTGTACCTGCCGACTCGGGAGTACCCATCTGAGCAAAGTAAGTGGCTCTGTCTGGGGTGAGGGCTGGGGGGCAGGGGGCCCTGGATGTCTGGGTCCCTGGCGTGGCTGCATCTTGTGGGCAAGGGACCAAGACAGGTGACTGAAAGGTTGGTCTCCCCAGGCCTGGGTCAGGCCCAGTCCCATGGGGTACATGTAGTCTCTCTACCGACTCTAGCCTGTTGCCTCTTGTGCACAGTATCCCCTGAGCCAGCTCTGCACCCAGGAAGCAGCATCGCTCATTCTGGGCATCTTCTTTGGGTGGCAGGTGCTGTCATGCTGGACAGGAGGGCTAGATGACCGTGGGACAGTGGTGTGGGCTTTGAATCCAAGTCCTGTATTCCTACTGGGCGGGTGTTAGGATCTCCAAGTGGCTCTCTGGATGAAGGCCCTTGCGGCATGCGCCTGCTTCCCACGCAGGGAGGGGACCCACTTCAACACTGGTGGTTGGCCCTGTGGTGGCAACTTGGCTGGATCTCCGGGAAGGCCACCTTGGGCAGGGATGCACCTGCAGAGAGCTGGGTCCTCATCAGCTGTGAAGGGTCTGCCACCCTTGCCAAGAGCCCATCCTGGGAGGGCTAGCAGAGCAGGGTCAGTGCAGGGTGCCCCTTGGCTGCTCACTCACCACCTCTCCTGCCCTTCCCTCTCCCCCTCAGTCATTGTGACCGAGAAGACCAATATCCTCCTGCGCTACTTGCATCAGCAATGGGACAAAAAGGTGAGGCTTGGGATTGGGGGGGACGGGGGTGGGGTGGGGGCGGGGCCTGAGAGCTGAAGAGGAGCTCGCTGGAGGCTTGGGGAGTAGGAAGAGCTGTGCTGAGTTGACCCAGCTCCCAGGCGGGGTGTCAGTCAGAAGGCTCCAGAATTGGACTGGAGTTCCAATTCTCTTCGGTGTGGTGAGCCGGTGTTTAATCTGACTGCGCATGTGGGGTGGTGGCCTCCAAGTGAGCCTGTTTAATGGCCCTTGGAGACAGTCTGGTCCCTGCCTTCTCATGACACAACAACCCAGGGAGCGGTCAGGTCTAGGGGAAAGTTTGCCTGCTTACTGCTAGCCCAGCCCCCCGGCCTGGCCCCTTGAGCCCAACAGCACCCAGTTCTCCATTTGCTTCTGGAGCAGGCACCAGGGCTCACAGCTCATAGATCCTCCTCCTGCCTCCCCACCCCGCCCCCTCCCAGAACGCTGCCAAGAAGCGAGATCAGGAGCAAGTGGACCTGGAGGGCGAGAGCTCAGCTCCCCCCCGCAAGATCGCCCGGACCGACAGCCAGGACATGCACGAGGACACTTAAGACTCTCACTGCCCTCCTCCAAGCCTCCTGTCGTGTCTGCCCTGCGTCGTGCATCTGCGCCCGCCCTACCTGCCCGCCCGCCCACCCCACGCCGTCCACACTGCGCCCACTCTTCTAGGAGCTGATGTATTTATTTTCCTCGAGTTTTTATTTATGTTGTAAAGTGTTCCCACCGATGGTTAAAGAGGACTTCAGACCCTGTAGCGTGATGTCGGTAGATGCTTTTTAAACAAGACAAACCACAACTGTTAGCTGCCCCCTCCCTTCGCGTGCCCCCTCGCCCCAGTTCTCTTCCTCATAAATGAGAGTGTGGCCAGGAGGGTGGGGGCTGGGGGTTCCCTGTTTCCTGGCTCCCAGAGACACCCAAGCAGTAGCCTTACTGTCCCACCTACCCATGCGCCAACAACCCAGGCCTTTATGATGCGTTCGCCCCAGCATCCCATGAGGAACTCCTCCAAGACCAGAGCAGGCCTCCCTCTGAGCCTGAGTTGGGGGGCAGAGCAGGCCTCCTGAACCTGAGTGGGGGGCCGAGGAGGCCCTGCTGGTATGTTCTTCACACTCATTTTATCATGGAGTAGTTCATGCGCAGTGTCTACCCCAATAAAAGGATCTTTCCTGTTCAACCTTGGGTCTTTGGGTGGCGTCCAGTGGCCACCAGGAGCCAGAGGGGACCCTCGAGCGGGCCAGGGACCAGCTGGACTCTTCCTACAGCCCTGCTTCGTTCGGCTGCCTTGCTGAGAACCAAGACCTGCCAGACTTGCCCCTCTACCTTACCTGCCCATGTGCCCCCTGGACACAGTCCACGCTGCTGAGGACAAAGCTGTGACTGGACACTGCTCCCAGGACATTGCTGAGCAGGGTGGCCTCAGATGACTGGGCATGCCTGTGTGTGCACCCATACAGAGCCTGGAGTCTCAGGACCCTGCTGGCTCCCCATGGTGTGGTGCTTGTAAATGGCATTTATCCCTTGCCCCCTGGGTCAGAGAAGAGGCCAGCCCCTGTAATGGCTATAATGGACGTGGACAAAGGGCTGGGTGGAGGGTGGGGAGCATTCAGACCCCAGACCCTGTGAAGGAGGTGCCTCCCAGTGTGACTGCAGTGGGGGAGCTAAGCACGGGTGGGGGCAGTGGGCCCAGCCTAGGAGGGGCCTGCACTGTAAGCTCTTGGGTAGGGGTGGTCCCAGGTGCCCTGAGGCTGAGCTGCCTAGCTGCCGTCCTCACTGGCTCCCTTCACACCTAGGTGTGGTGTCGTTCCTGCTATCCCACCTGCAGCTCCTCTAGGGTTTGCCCAGAGTGAGGGAGCCAGCAGCCAAGATGGCCGAGGCCCCCTCCCTGGGCTCTGACCCCAGCAGCCTTGCTGCTACAAGAGGAGCCAGCTACCCCTGCCCTTCCTCAGCTGCCTGGCACCGCCAGTGTGTGTGTGTGCCCACCTCGGCCTCTCTGCAGGGAGCCAATTCCGCCCCACCGCCCCTCCTGTGGCCCTCACCTCTGCCTCCCATATTCTGTGCCTTTGCCCGGCTGCATTCGCCTCTCCACAGGCCTCCGTCTATCCCAGCCCTGGACAATGGGCTGGCAACCCTTTGCCACCTAGTGTGGACAAGCCCACTTTCAGAGAGCAGTGAGGATCGTTGGCCATGTTACTGTTCTCAGGATACTGAGTGGGGGGAGTGGAGTCTGTCTGCCCCAGGGGCCCCTGTCACTTTGTCCCTCTATCCCACCTGGTGCCTTCTGACTCCACACCCATTGTTTTCCCCACTGTCCTGGAGTCCCAGAGGGTGACCCAGGGAAGCAGTGTGCCAGGAAGTGCCACCTCTTCCAGATATCCCGCCCCCCCCCCCACACACACACACAACCAGAGGACCCTGGCCTCCTTGCCCCCAAATGGCCTCATTGTTTGGAGGGCTGAAGCCATTCCTAAAGGCCCTGCAGCTGCTCTGGGGGCCCCAAGGCTGAGGCCAGCCCCCAAATCTGGGCCGCCTAGCATTTAGCAGTGGCCTCAAACTTTCTATTTGTGGCCCTGAGTCCCAGTTCCAGGGCAGGGCTGAAGCAGGGCCTGGTGCCTGAGGGGAAGGGACTGCCGCCCCAGCCCCTTCCACGGCACTGACCCTGGGCACTGTTGAAATAGACTTTTTATTGCATTTCTGCCGTTTTACAAAAATATGACAAAATAAATTAAAAACAAATAAATAAGTGCCTATTGTGTATGTGTGTGTGTGTGTGTGTTCTGTTGGTTTGTGGGTGTCCTTTCATCCCTCTCCCGGTCGAAAGGACAACGGCAGACTGGGTGGCCCCGGCCCTCCGAGGGTGCAGCCAGCACTGGGGTATTGCATATGAGCATGGCAGGCAAGCAGGTTAGTGCCAGCCACTGGGCCAGCACACAGCCTGGGGGCTCGGGCTGGGTGCTGGCGACTCCGAATGCTCTGAGGTGGGTGGGGGTGGGGGTGGGAGGCTGTAGAAGCTGGCATCCCCTGGAAGGGGTTGTGGAGCAGGCAGGGGCCCAGTATGGGCACATGGTGGGCACTCCGCGGCATTGGCAGGGACTTGGCGGGCAGCGGCAATGGCACCCTCGCCCCCACACCCCCAAGGCCCGTCCCACTGCCAGCAGCTGGTGGGTGGTGGTGTTGGGGCCTGGGGCAGCGGCAGTGGCAGCGATGATGGCAGCGCAGGGCTCCGGCTGCGGCGAGTACGGAGGGCAGGGGCGCCCACTGGGGCCAGCGCTGTCCCTGCGGAGGCGAGAGGGGCTGTTCCGGGGGGTGCCGCCTGCACCGCTGGACCCAGGACCCTGGCCCGCTCTCCCTCCCGGGTGCACGGGCACAAGGCCTTATTGCTTCTGGTTGGAGGCCGTGGGGGGTGTCTACAGAGCACCCCTGCCTCTGGGCACTGAGGACAGTCTGGGGAAGTCCCTCCTAACACCTGACCTAAGTCCCTTGCGCTGGCTGCAGTGCCACCTGTGGGGCTCCTAAGGGCTGGGGTTGAGGTGGGAGGAGGTAGGGCCGGGCTGGAGTTAGGGGTGTGAGGCCTGGGCCTCTTTGCTCGGTGCAAATGTGGGTGCAGCCAGTGACCGAGCTCCTGAGCCCCGGGGTGGGTGGCCCCAGCCTTGCCTCTGAGGAAAGGCTGTCAGGGAGACGATTTGCATAGAGGCTAGGGGGTCCAACGAGGCCCCCAGAATGAGCTGGGTGTAGGGTCTCGGAGTAGGGGAGGAGCAGGAGGGGTGCTCGCACAGGGCTTTGGTATCCCTCTCTGGGGTGAAGAGGGTCAGGCACGTGGCTCCAGGCTCTCGAGGGTCCCCAGCGGGCACCAGACTGGGGCTTCCTCAATCCCCAGGCCCGGCCACCCTCCAGCCTCCAAGCTAGCCCAGCATCCCCACCCCCGAGTTAAAGCTTATGACCTGGGCCATCCTCCTCGGGCCGGGTGACTTCCGGCTCCTCCGCTGCGGCCTCGTCCACCGGCCCACTCCGCTGGGGCCGGCTGCAGCCGGGGATGCCTTCCGGCCGGGCCTGCCCGCCCGCCCCGTTGGCCCCGGCCTCGGCCCGGGCCCCGCCGAAGGGGAAAAGCTTGCCGGCGTGGAAGGCTTTGGGCGGCGAGTGGCTGCGCTGCTCAGGGTCCCGCCGGGTCTCGGGCGACTTAAGGAACTTGAAGCTGAGAAAGGCGGGCAGGCGGGTGTCGCTGCCCGTGGGCGACTGGGCGCTGGCCGGCCGGGCGGTGGGGCTTGTGGCCGCGCCAGCTGGCGAGGCGGCGGCGGCGGCGCCCGAGGACAGGAACTTGCCCTGCAGCGGGATGATCTGCTTCAGCTTCATGACGTTGTTGGGCGCCAGCAGCGAGCCCGGGCGCTTGGGCCGCTCCGTGTGGCTGCCCGCGCCGTGGCCACCCTTGGCTTTGGCAGAGGCCTTCTCTGCTGCGGCAGGGTCCAGCCCGGAGCCCTCGGGCCGTGCTTCCTCCCGGCCGCCCCCGGCGTCGCGCTCGCGCCTGGCGTGGTGCTCCGCGTGCCGCTGCCGCTCCTCCTCCTCGCGCCGCCGCCGCTGCTGCTGCTGGTAGTGGTGCTGCGCCTGGCGCTCGTGCTTCTGCGGGCGGAGCGGGCGCCATTACCGGACAGGGTGGTCTCCGATGCGCCCCACCCCCGTGGTTGCGCCCTGCACGATTGTGCCAAGTCTAAACGCTCGTTGGGCACCTAGATAATGCTGAATGCTTTCTGCGCAAGCAGGGTAGGTTCAAGCGCTTACGGGGTGCCAACTGGACCCCTGGACCCAGACTGGGTGTTTGGGAGAAATCACAGAGATTTAGTGGCCTCCAGCTCCACTAGCCAGGAACTGGGAGAGGATTACCAAATGTTGAGTCTCACTTGGGCCCAGGAGACAGAGGTGCTATTGGGGCCCAAAGGTCTCCTCTGGGGGCCACCCAGTTGGGTGGTACAGCTGCAGGACCATCGTTGGTGGCGGCAGGTTCAGCTGGGTGGCACTGGTGAGCTACTTGGCCCACCTGCAAGCTTTCAGCGAGAAGAGGGAGAGGCTGGGCTTCTGGAAGCATCAGCCTTGTCCCTGCCCCCAAACTGGGTGCCAGTGGGTGACCAGCTCCGTGCTGGCCCAGCATTGCTGGGTGTCACTGAGATACCTGTGACCGGGCTGGCTGCATGCTTACACAGCAGGGGGTGGGGGCAAGGACTCAGCCACCAGGATCCATCTGCCTCTGTCACTCATCAAGAGGGGGCGAGGGGGAGGGGCCCCACTGAGTGCAGGGAGTGGGGGGCGGAGTCGGGGAGGCAGTAAGAAATGACAGCTGAGTCCCGCCCAGTCCACCTACCTTGAAAGCCTCCCGGCGCTGGTACTCAAGCTTGGCCATCTCCTCGGCTACCCAGCCGGGGATGTCAGGGATGGTCACGTGGATGAGGTACTTGAGCAGCAGAGCGAAGTGCTAGGCAAGAGAGAAATGAGAGAGAGAGCGAGAGATGCCAGCTGCTGATGCAAAGGCCTCCTTGCCTACCCAGCCCTCGGGCCCCAGCCTGGCCACTGGCCCCACCTCCAGCACCACCAGGGACACGATGGCCGCCTCCGGGCCGAGCCAGGGGAAGAGGCGCTGCAGCTGCCCACACTGGCCGATCAGGTAGCAGTTGACCACGATAGCCAGGACACCCATGGCCTCCATCACCTTCTGCGGGCGGGCAGGAGGAAGAAGGCGGGGCTTCAGGCAGGCCGGGTTCTGAGCTGTCCGCAGGCCCCGCCCCCTCCGGGCACACTCCACCCCCTCCGCCCCACCTGCCACTGGCCGATGCTCTCCACGCGCTGGCCGAAGGGCCGCTGCAGGCCAGTGCACAGCTTGAAGGCGTCGCTGCGGATTTCAATGAGGTTGTTGATGAGGGCACAGAGCGCGGCCAGCGGGAAGGCCGAGGAGAAGAGCACGACGTAGCCAAACTGCACGAACATCTCCTGGTAGTCCTGGAACGTGTCCTGGGGCATCCGGCTGCCGTCAGCTCAGCAGGCCTCCTTTCTTGGACCATAGTCTCCTCATCAAGCCCTGGGCTGATGCCCCTGCCCCGGCTTGGATTCTCCCCCATGGACTCTCTGACCTCATCTCCTCCATCTGACTGGGCCTTGAAACTGGGCAGGCAGACCCCCTTCCAGCTGCCCCCTAAAGAGCTCTGGTAACTTACCATCTCCACCCTCAGCCCTCTCTCCCTCTCCCTCACACACACACATGCACTGGGTCCTGCCTCGACCATCAGACTGCGGACCCACTCACCCAGGGCCCCAACACTGCCCTCCGACTGTGCCAGATGTCTGCCTCCAGCCATGTGCCCTATTTTCTCTTTGCGCTCATGCGAAGTGCTCATCCCTGCTCCCCGTCATCGAAGACCCTGTGCCCCGGCCTGCACCTCCTCCTCACCTCGTACTTCTTCATGCAGCTCTCTAGCTCTGCTTGTGTGAGCTGGGGGGGGTGCTCCTCTTCAGGCGGGTCGATCCAGGAGGCCCGGTTCTGCCGCCGTGGCCGGTGGGCAGAGTCACCTGGGCCCGGCTCAGCTTCTGGGCCACCATTGGGGCCCTGGTCTCGGCCCTCGCCCCCTGCCCGGCGTAGCAGCACGGTGGCCGGCTCCTGCTCCGGGCTGCCAGGGGCCTCCTCGGCCTCAGCTTCATCATCGTCCTCGGCCAGTGTGAATACCCCGGGCTCCAGCCCCTTCTCCACCATGGTGGGGCTGCCCTCCTCTAGCAGGGCCTCGGGGCTTGGGCCCCCGCGCCGTCTGATGGCCCGTTCAGCAAAGCTGACTTTCTTCAGTCGTAGCCCGCAGTCCAGGAGGCTGTCTTCCTCCCCTTCCTCCTCCTCCTCCTCGTCTTCCTCTTCCTCTTCCTCCTCGTCCTCCACCTCCTCCTGGCCCCCCGGCAGCCCATCTCCCTCCTCCCCACCTTCCCCAGCTGGCCGCCGCTCCACCGTGGCCTCCTCCTCCTCCTCAGGTGCCCCACAGCCCCCACGAAGGCAGCGGCGGCCCCCCACACTGCCAGTCCCCTCCTCAGCCTGGGGTTCCAGGCGGTGCGGGGCAGGGCACCGGGGGCCCAGCAAGCCCAGCAGGGCTCGGACCAGCTCCCAGACAGCCTGCAGGCCCAGCTCGCCGTGGCCCAGCCGCCGGTACAGGTGCGGCTGCAGGACCTCTCTCACATTCTGGAGGAACTGGCGGGTGATGAGCAGGGTGGCCAGCATCTGGGGGGGTGGGGGGTGGGGTCGGTAAGAACAGCCACGTGGGAGACAGGCAGGATGAGGCACCCCCAGCATGTGCACAGACCTGCCTGCTGGCCCCACCCTGTCCACTCAGGCCCCCCTGGCCCCGAGGCCCCCTGTGGAGGCACCAAACGCACCAGGCACAACCTTGCAGCGGAGCACCCCCAGGACTGTTACACGTCCTGCCACCTGCCCCATCATCCCACCAAGCCCTGGCAGCAACCCAGCCAGGCCGTGTGCTCGGTCCTCTCGATGCCCGCCCATACTTTGGCCCGGGCTGCTAGCAGGAGGCCCCGGAGGGAGAGGAGGAGCAGGCGGAACTGCAGGGCCGCGAGCGGAACCAGCACCGCCTGCAGCTGCCGCTCGAGGCTCTGGGACAGGGACAGGATGAGCAGGAGCTGTGGAGGGACCGACGGACAGGTGGACGGACAGATGGAGGCAGAGACAGGCAAGAGGACGCACGGACAGAGAGGAGAGAAGGATGGAGAAGGGGTGGGGGCTGGGGCCCGGGCCACCGCATGCCCCCTCCCCTCCCCTGTGCCCTGGGTGCCCCCCCCCTGGAAGGGGGGGCCACCGCCACCTGGCCTGGTGCTCACCTCTTTCAGGCGCTCCATGTCCTTGAGGTAGAAGCCAATGTAGAAGAGGCTCAGGTATGAGTTGACGAACTGGAACTGGAAGGACAGACAGCGTCACCTTGCCCCTCCCCTGCCTCTGCCGCCCACTCACCACCTCCAGCCTGGGACTCCTGCTCACCAAGACCACCTTGATGATGAGGTGCTTCTCGTAGGCGCTCTCCAGCCGGTAGTTTTCTGGGGGCCAAGGGACGGAGTCAGGGAGAGCAGCCCCCTCCGCCTCCTGGGGAGGGGGGTACCTTCCCCCCAAGGTGGGATGTAGGGGTGGAGGGTGAGAGTCCCCCGCCCCCAGCAGGGCCTACCCATGTCATTGAGCCAGATGGCGAGTTTTTTGTAGCCCTCGGCGCTGGCGCTGACCAGCAGAGCCAGCACGACCTTGGGCAGGAAGCGGGCCAGGCGAGGCAGCCCCTTGACCGTCAACACCAGCTCCTGGGGGTGAGTGGGGGACGCGATGGCTTGGGTTAGGGCTCCAGCTGGAGGTCACCCAGGGGCAGGTTTCAGGGTGGTCAGGACTAGACTTGGGCGCCAGGCATTTGGACAGGGAGTTCACAGGGTTGGGGAGGGTTAGGCAGGGGTCGCCAGAGTGACCTGCAGCTGGAAGCAGCCGAGCATGAGCAGGAAGGCACAGGCCAGGCAGGCCAGGCACAGCGGCAGGCTGACGAGCAGCTGGAAGAGCAGTCGCTTCCAGGGTGGGTAGTAGAACTCTTCAGCCCGAGTCACCGGGCTGATGCGCCGGACACCCTAGGGGAGGCAAGGCCGCCAGCAGGAGGGCGAAAGAGAGGGCGTAAGGCCCTCCACTAGCTCACCCCTCCAGGCTCCCAGCCTCAGTTTCCCTTCTTGCTGCCTCCGGTCTTGTGGTCCCCGCCCCCAATGTAGTCATCTCTTCTTTGTCCTTGAACTCAGAACCGGACTTTACCCTGAACTGGGGTCGGGGCTCCTCCACGGCTTCCCCGGGTGAGTCCAGGGTCCCCCACTTGTAGGCCAGCTCTGCCCCCCTCCGTTTCCACTCCTCCAGGAACAGCGTGGACCACACCACATTGAAGAGGGCGAAGACCACGCAGGACACGTCTCGGCTTGTCTGCAGGGGCAACAAAGGGTCTGGCACATGGGCTAGCCAGCCCAGCGGCTCTGTCATAGAGCCCCCAGCCCTGCCTACCGCCCCGGCGCGCACCTGATCGGTCTCTGTGAACGTGTACAGCACCGAGCCGAAGACCGCCGGGTACACCATGGCCGACGTGTAGAAGCCCAGCCAGGCGAAATACATGGCGATCTTGACGCCGAAGTAGTCGCAGATCTCATCTGCAGCGGGCAGGACCCCGGTCAGTCCCGCCTACTTCCCCACCCACCCACCACCCACGCCTGGGACGCACCAAGGGGCTGGTTCTCACACACGGCCTGCACCCACGACTTCATGAGGCGGTTTAGGATGCGCTGCTCGTGCACTGGAAACACCTGCTGGATGATTCCTCGGGCTGCCAGCTCGGGGACTGTGGGGGGAGGGATGGCGGTGACACCCCTCACCATGCACCTGCCCCCCACCTCCCCCAACCCCGACCCTGCTTGGATGAGACCTGAGTCACAGCTTTTCGCCTGTTCTCAGACTGCCGAGGCCTGGGACGGACTATCTCTGGGTTTCCTATAGAATTGGGGGGCTGCAGAGGCTGGTGAAGGAGGGAGGAGGACTTCTCGGGGAGGGGGCGTCCTGCTGGGGAACTACCAAACTCAAACTCAATGCCATCGAGTCCATGCGGACTTACATTTCAAACCACGGACCTTTGGTTAACAGCCAACCCAAAACCACCACATGACCAGGGCTCACTGGGGAAACCACGGTTCTAAGTAAACCATTTTCAAAGACCTCAGTCGGTGGGGTACAAAGTTAACATCAGAAGGTGTGCTTGAAGTGGTTTGTCTCCTGGAAGGGAAACTGAGGCCCAATTTTCCCATCCCAACTCCCTGACACGCCACCCAGACTGCTGTCTTTGGTCCTACCCTGCCTCCTCTGGGGCCCACAAAAGGTTCCGCTGGCCACGCCTCCAAGGAACAAGCTCCACCTTTCCACCAAGACCCCGCCCCTCTCAGGATAAAGGCTCACTAGGACCCACTCTCGTGCATGGATAGGCTGCTGCTCTAAGAGCCCGCCCCAACCCCCCCTGGAATTGGAGAACTGGCCCCGTCCTGCTCACTGATTGGCTGGTCCTCCAGAAAGCGCACATTGTGCAGTGCCTCGCCCTGCTTGGCGCGAAGGTTCTGCAACCAGAAGCGGATGATGCTCTGGCGCTCCTGGGGGGAAGAGTGCGTGAGCCTCAGGGACAGCAGCCCAGGGACGGGATGCGACGCCCGCATGAGGGGTGATAGACACAGAGGGGTGGGTGGTAAGGGACAGGGAAGAAGGACACAGAGGGGGCTGGGCAGGTGGGTGAGGGGATGTAGGGTGAGGGTGGTGATGGGCTGCAGACATCGCAGGGACCAGGGACATGAGTAGGAGACTAGACCATGGGTGAGGGCCTATGGCCATGAACCGAACACAGGAGTGAGGAACCCAGCCGTGGGAACAGGGGCCAGCCGCACCTGGGAGGTGAAGAAGCGCAGTTCACTTTCGACATTCTCGTAGATGAAGTCCTCCTCGCAGGAGAAGCCGCGCGTGCCTCCACCGAATTCGGCCTTCACCGCCTTGCGCAGCCCAAGCTCGTCCGCCCCTCGGAGTAGGCTGCGCAGAGGACAATGGAGGCGGGCTTATTTGAAGCCCCCCCCCTTGTACACTTGGCACGCGGAAAGGCAGGGCCCTGGGGACTTGCCTCTCATAGGTGGCAGTGACGAAGAAGGCATAGGCACGCGTGCGGCGGTGGTGGCGGACTTGCACGATGAGCTCTGGGATGCCCACGCGGATGTGGTTCAGCAGCCACAGCAGGGTGTGATCATCGGTTGTGTCTGCCAAGGGGCACAGGGACTGATGGCTCTTGCCACAGACTCTTGCCCGAGCTCACCCCGTGTGGGCACCGTCCAGCGCAGGTACCTGGGAAAGTCATGAGGACGTCGCAGTTCTCCGTAGGCACCGTCTTCATCCAGGCCTTGTGGGACACCAGGTAGCGCCCTGCCTGCAGGAGCCTCTTCCCAAAAAGCTTATCTGAAGAGTGGGCAGGATGCCGGGTCAGGCCACTCCAGACTGAACTTGGCCTTGCTCACCCACCCACCCACCAGGGCTCCCCAGCACTCTCAGCTCATATTCAAGGCCTTGGCTTCTCCTGTAAACCTTTTACACCAGCCTCGGACCGGTCACCCTTCCCCCAGGTCCTCCTTAGAAACCCTACTCATTCTCCGGCCTGGCCCCGCCTCCAAACCACAATCTTGGGGCGCTCACTAGCTACCCAGATCGCTTTGCTGCCTTACATCCGTGCTGGTGCAGTCCTTACCCCCATTTCACAGGTGAGAAACTGAGGCCCAGTGCGGCTAAGCCACTTGCCCAAGGTCACACAGCCCAGCTGGGATTCGAACCCAAGACTAGTGTGTGTCCTCTGCGGGGAGGATTTCTCAAGCGCTTCCCTGCCGGGCTGAACGGGTACCATAGAAGGTAGAGGGGCTCAGACACCAGTCTTGGAGGGAGGGTGGGGCGTGTCGAGGTCTCCACACGGACCCCACTACCACCACCAGCTGTACGGGTCCAGCCCCACCCGCCGGGCCCGCAGCCGCAGTGCCGGGAGGGGCCGGCGCCCCTGTCCCTCGGCCAGACTCCAGGCCAGGGACAGCTGACCCTAGCTTCCACCTCCCACCCGGGTCTGGTTGCCGCGCGCACCCCAGGCACCTGCCAACCCTATTGGGGTTCCGTTGTCACGCACATACCCAGCACCCCGGACGCCGAGGCTGCAGGCTCGCCCTCAGGTGGGGGCCTCTTGCCGCGCTCGCCCTCCAGGGACGTGGCCCCGGCGGCAGGGGTGGCCTCGGCCATGGAGAGGGCAGGGACCGGTCAGCGGCTGCGGGCGGCCCGAGCGCCGGGGGGCCGCAGGCTCATGGGGCCGGTGCCGCCGCCGAGCGTGCCGGAGGAGGAGACAAAGGCCGTGCCCGCCCGCGCCTGCCGCCGTCCTCGCGCGCCCGAGAGCTGTTTCTCGTCCCCGACCGCGCCGAACCGCGATTCTCTCGCTCAACTCCGAGCGCGTCCCGCCCGCCTCCCTCTGTGGTTCTCGTCCCCGCCCGCCTGGCTTTTTCGGTTTCCCGTCTGGCCCGCCCACTGCGCTCCCTGGTTCAAGTCCCCGCCCGCACGGAATGTGTATTGTCTTCCTTGTTCCCCGCCCACACCGCATTCTAGGCGCCAGGGCCTGGAATCTGCGCCTTGCAGCCTCAGTTTCCCCAACTGTAAACCCGAAGGCGCGGTTTGGTATCTGGGATATGTGTGATTTGGCTAGGGGAGGACGTGGGAGGGAACTAAGCCTGGTATGCAGAGGTGGGGCCAAGCCAGCTCCTGACCTTAGGGACAGCTACCTTAGCAGGCTTGCGAATGTAATTCCAGCAAGGCAGGCTTCGGGCTGCCGGCGACCCCCGCAGCGCTTGGACACCCCTCTCTCTTCCTTCAGCATATAACCGCCTCCGAGAGGACCCCCGGCCCGAGTCGTCAGAGCACATAAAAATAGGGGTCTTCCGCTTGCATTTGAATTTCACATAAAGGCATGTCTAGGTTGCTATTCATAGCTGTCAAGTGAATTCCAATTCGCGGTGATTCGTGTGCGTATAGGATAGAACTGTGCTCAGCGGCGTTTTTCAAGGGTGTGACCTGTTTGGAGCTGATCACCAGATCCTATTTCTGAGGTTCTCTGGGCCAGGTGCAAACCATCCCGTTTCACCGCTCGGAGACCCGGATTTGTTGAGAGCCAAACACCTCGCCAGGTCCATTGGAACTCACAGCAACACAATGAGGCAGACTAGAAGCATCCCCGAGGGGTCCCAAGGCTGCGATTTGCTGCGGAAGCAGACTGTTAACACAGGTCTCCTGTAAAGCCGCTGGCGGAATCGAACCTCCAACCTTGAAGGTTGCTGAGGGCGTAACGATGATGCTACCAGGGCGCCGGTCTTTTTTACGTTGTCCTCGAGTCTGCTCCAACCCATCGCCGTGCTTCACACAGCGGAACATAGCGCGGCACCTCTCCCCAAGGGCTGCCACGTTTGAGCCCATTGTTGCCGCTGCGGTGTCAATCCATGACCTCGAGGTCTTCCCTTTCACATTGACCTTTTTCCGCGCATGATGTCTTTCTCCAGGTAACAGGTCCAAGTGTGTGAGACATAGTCTCACCACCCTCACTGGCAAGAAGCATTCTGGTGAGGCTTCCAGGACAGATTTATTTATCCTTTTAGCGGTCTGTGGTATAGTTAATATTGTCTGCCAACGTAATCATTCAAACGCATCGATCCTTCCACCTTCCTTCTTCACGGTTCAGCTTTCACACAGGAGACGGTTGAAACGACCGGGGCTTGGGTCAGGCACACCGTGGTCCTCAACGTTAACCACGTTGGAAAATGTTTCCCCAATTCTGATTTCTCTCTAAAAGGGATTGTGGCGAAGATGATGGGACCACTGAGTCCTATGACTTGTGAATTGTGTGCCAATCAAAGCGTGACATTTAAAGGTCATACCTTTGCACTTTAGCACTTTGAAGAGGTCTCCTGTGGCAGATTGGCCCCAAACAATAGGTCTTCTGACATCCTCATTGCTGCGTCCACAGGCATTGATGTGTGGAGCCTCCTCAGATGAGATTGTTCACGACTTCCGTTTTTTCCGGCATCTATCACGGCGCATCTGTCGATCTGGTTGTGAGGATTCTTGTTTCTGACGGTTCCGTGTAGATGTTCTGCTGCAACACTTGTTGAGTGATCTTCAGCAAAGCTCTCAGGTGATAGTAAGGATGTTGACAGGTCATCAAGCCCGTTCCAACTCACGGGGAACCCAGAATAACAGAGGGAAACGCTGGTGGGTCCCGTGTCACCTTTGTCCTCAAACTACCCTTGCTATTTAACACTTTATTTATTTATTTTGCTTTTCAACACTTTAAAGGGGTCTTGTGCAGCAGGTTTACCCAGAGTAATATAGTGCTGGATACTTTCCACATCTATTAAGTCACCTTGCTGTGGAATGGACAGACATATGGATCTCTTCCAGTCCGCTGGCCTTGTAATTGCCTTTTCCCATTTTTTTGGCACAGACTAGAGAGTGCTTGTCACGTGGCAGTCATTTGTTGAAACACCTTAATTGGTAGCCCATCAATTCCTGGAACCTTCTTCACAAATGCCTTCAGCGCAACTGAGATTTCTCCTTTCCACCATCAGTGCCTGATTTTATGCTACCTCTTGAAATGTTTCCTTTGCAACCAGCACCAGCTCTTTTGGTGCATTCTTCCCATGTTCTTTTAATCACCACTCCCCCCTACCCCCCATGTCGTTCAATATCTTGACCATAGAATCCTTCAATACTGTAATTCAAAGCTTGAATCTCTTTCTTCGGTTCCTTCAGCTTGAGCCCGGCTGAGCACGTTCTTCCCTTTCGGTTTGCTACCTCTATCTAGGTCTTTGCCCCTTTCATTTTAATACTGTCTCCTCAAACTGCCCTCTGAACGCATCTGGCCAGCACTTTCACGCCATCATTGCTTCCGTCTGCTTTAGCTACACTAAAGTGTCAGCGTCTCTTCAGACATCCAGTCTGTGTTTCCCTTCTCTCTGTCTCCACCCACCCCCACCCCAAACCAAAGCCTTCGGATATTTGTTCATTGTTAACCTCTGGATGCAGAAGCATAAACACCGAGAAAGAAACCAGACATGTGTCAATACAAGGTCAATTGATCAGATGGTGGCAGGTTTTAAACTCAGCAGGACAGAACGCTAGGGCCCCTCAAAGAAGGCTGCCTGCCATCACACGGCCGACTCCCGAGAGACCCAGTCTGCCAGGTTCTTCTCCAACACCTTCTCTTGGAGTTGTTCCTGATCTTATGACCAGTTTTCCAGTGAATCCACTGGGGAGGGGCGGTGTGTGATTCCAGCCTTTGTTTCTTGGTCAGGAATCTCTTGATCCTGAAAGTCTTAGGAGAAGACATGGCCAAGGGAGAAGAGGAGGCAATGGCATGCAGGTTGGCGGAGAAAAGGAGAGATGGTCTTTCTTAATGCCTTTGGCTTTCTTTATGCATATCCTTGGCATGATCCCAATTAAAGAAATAACCCCAAACTCACCGTCAAGTTGATTCTGACTCATAATGACCCTATATAGGGTTTCCAAGATTGTAAACCTTTATGGGAGCAGACAGCCTCATTTTTCTACTGAGGAGCAAGCAGGTGGTGGATTTGAACCACTGACCTTATGGTTCAGTAGCCCAATGCCTCACCTATTTTGCCTGGAGACTCTACATCCCTCCCACCCAGCCTCCCCACCAAGCAGAGAGCAGCCTCCATCAATATCAGACTGGAAACTCAGCCAAGACAGGGTCTTGTCTGGTTCTCCATGTTTGGCACACAGTAGACGTTTGAAGTACACTTGTGACAAGTAGAACAACTAGGAAGCAGCGAGTCCGCAAACATAGTTGAGCTGCCTGCCGGCTCAGTTCTTCTAAAACCACAGAATTGACTGGGCGCAGAAGCCTTAGAAGGCCCCGCCCAGTCCAGTGCCTGGAACCTCCCATTCAGCACTTTATTGCGAGCTGCAGGCGCTGTCCTAGGTTAACCTGAAAGTAATATTCAGGACTCCTCTTGCTGGCCTTGGGTGAGCCAGAGGCAACGCGGATACCCACAACATTGCAGGGTTAGGGCTGGGACAGAGAGAGGGTCAGGGAAACTCAGAGAGGGCCATGCTGGGGGCTCAGGAGGGCTTCCGGGAGGAGCAGCCACTAGAGCTAGGCTGGGAGGACAGGGAACTGCAGAGGAAAGGCTTGGGTGGTAAGAAGGCTGGACGTTTTAGAGAAAATCAGGTAGGGATTTACTCAGATGTTCTAGCACAATGTCCCCTGGGCCAGGCTGTGAGATGCTGTGAGCTTGGGATCTCAAATTACAGTAAAAACCCAAAGCAAATCCATTGCCTTCAAGTCGATTCTGACTCATAGGCACCCAGTGCGTTTCTTTTTTTTTTTGCGTTTCTAATTAGAACTGTGCCCCACAGGGTTTCCCAACAGCTGATCTTTCAGTAGGAGGTCGCCAGGCCTTTCTTCTGAGCTGCCTCCGGAGGAGCCTGAACCCTCCATTTCCGTGAGCAACGCAGGGTTCCTGCCGAGAGGTGGGGGCTCCCTCTCTCTGGACCACACATAGCTCCTAGCCTCGTCCAAGGTTACGGAATAGCCCGCGGGAAAATAAGACCCCCTGCCTCGCCATTGTTTTCACCGCCGGGTGCTCTGCCCGTCCCTGACCCCCTCCCCCTCGTTTCCTGTGTTTCGGATCCAGGCTGGGCTAGGACCCTAAAACCAGTGTCTCCTGTAGCCGGGGAACGCCATTTCGCTGCACTCCCGCCCATGGTGCGGCTTGAACCAACCAATAGGAACGAAGATCTGTATTGAGTAGGCGGGGTCTCTCCAGAGAAGCCCAATAGTAGCTGAGAGTCGGGGAGCGCTCAGGCAATCACGCCGCGAGGGAGGCGGGACCTCCCGCCCGGACTTGAAGCTGCGCAGGAGCGCCGGCAGGGCGGGCAGGCAGGTCGGGAAGCAGTTTGTGAATCCATGTGGCGGGGTCTGTGGACCTTGACGGCTCGGGCGACACATGGGCTTCGCAGGTGGGGATGGTGAGGGACCTCGGAGGGGATGTATAACAACAGGGGGAGGTTGCCTAGGTATCGAGCTCGCCCTTGACATCCGGGGGTCCAATTCCCTGCAGCAGAGTCGCTGTTAGTGCCCTTCCCAGCTGTCCAAGCCCCAGTCTGTTCACTTCCTACGGCAGAGCCCACATCTGGGTCACCTTCTGGGTCAGAGACCCAATCAGGTCAGACTCCGGCCTCAGACTGTCCAATCTGCACCCACCAGCCGCAGAGCACCCGGTCCCTCCAGATAGCCCCCCAGCTGCGAGCTCTCCACCTTTCTGCCATCCGTGCACTGACCACTGCTCTCTTGTCCCAGACCGTGTTGGCGCCAGGCCAGTGGCACCCTGGGCCCTGGCACCGGCGTCACCATCTTTGCGCTGAGCTCGGGCCAAGGCCGCTGCGGCGTCGCTGTGATTCGGGCCAGCGGCCCGGCCAGCGGCCCCGCCCTCCGGAGTCTCACGGCGGCCCGGGACCTGCCCCCGGCTCGTAGCGCCCGCCTGCGGCTGCTCAGAGACCCGTGCTCCGGGGAGCCTCTGGACCGTGCTCTAGTGCTATGGTTCCCAGGTGAGGAGCCCCAGCTCCCGAAGCCCTGTAGTTCCCTATCCCACCCCACCCCACCCCACCCTGCCCAGGTGTGTGCCCAGGCTGTGGCTGCTCTGGACTGCCACCTCTCTGCCATCTAGGTCCCCAAAGCTTCACCGGCGAGGACTGCGCTGAGTTCCACGTGCACGGTGGCCCCGCGGTGGTGAGCGGGGTCCTGCAGGCCCTCAGTGAGTCTGCAGCCATCCGTTTGAGACCAGGCTTGTCTGTGGGCCTCGGTGGGGCCTGTCCCCCCTGACCCAGGGCTCAGCACCGTGGCCTCCCCTCCAGGTGGTGTGCCCGGGCTTCGGCCAGCTGAGGCGGGCGAGTTCACCAGGCGGGCGTTCGCCCACGGCAAGCTGAGCCTGACCGAAGTGGAGGGACTGGCTGACCTGATCCACGCGGAGACTGAGGCGCAGCGGCGCCAGGCCCTGCGACAGCTGGACGGGGAGCTGGGCCGCCTGTGCCAAGACTGGGCCGAGACCCTCACTAGGGTGCGTGTGGGGGTGCTGGAGAAGAGGGCAGGGTCTCCCGCCCATTCCCTGTGTGAACTCCCACCGACCCTTCCCCTGTCTGAGAGCCTGCTGTCGGGCAGCTGAGGAAGAGGTGGGGGGAAGGCCCTGGGGGCTAACCCACTCTTTCCCCAGGCTCTGGCCCACGTGGAGGCCTATATCGACTTCGGGGAGGATGACAACCTGGAGGAAGACGTTCTGGAGCGAGGTGGGGCCAGTCAGAGTGTGGGTGCTGTGGACCCCGCATCGTACTCCTCCGATCGACCCCCCTCACTCCTGTTCCTCTACCTCCACGCAGCCGACATCGCAGTGCGTGGGCTGGAGGCGGCCCTGGCCGCCCATCTCCGGGATGCTCGCCGTGGGCAGCGGCTGCGCTCCGGGGCGCACGTGGTTGTTGCAGGACCTCCCAACGCCGGCAAGAGCAGCCTGGTGAACTTGCTCAGTGCGTGGGAGGTGGAGCCTGGAGCCGCGGGGTGGCGTGCACCAAGACTGCCCAGGAATGGACAGCCCCACACCCACACCTCCTCTGTCCACCCTCCTAGGCCGGAAGCCCGTATCTATCGTGTCCCCAGAGCCGGGGACCACCCGTGATGTGCTGGAGACCCCCGTGGACCTGGCCGGGTTCCCTGCACTGCTGAGTGACACGGCCGGGCTGCGTGAGGGCGTGGGACCCGTGGAACAAGAAGGGGTGCGGCGTGCCTGGGCCAGGTGGGCAGGGCCAGACCATGGACAGGCCCAGACTATGGGCAGGGCCAGACCGTGGGCGGGGCCAGCTCTTTCCCCGACCTTTTCCTTCTGTTGGGTTTATTTTCCGTTTTTCCTGAATGAGAAGCTTCCTTCCTTCAGATGGGAGTTTTGGGGTGATTTGGGCACTCTCAGTTATGCCTCTGCCTGGGCCCGCCCCTCCTTCTCATGCCTGGCCACCCGTGCCCTTCAGGGCGTGGACCCAGGTGTTTTTTCCTGCTTCCTCAGGCTGGAGCAAGCCGACCTCGTTCTGGCCGTCCTGGACGCCTCTGACCTGGGCTCACCCTCCAGTCGCAACTTCCTGGACACAGTTGTGACTCCCATGGGAGCCCAGAGTCCTGCTGGGAGCGGCCAGCGCCTCCTCCTTGTACTGAACAAGTTGGACCTTCTGCCCCGGCAGGGCCTGGCGCCCTATCCTGACCTGCCCCCGCATCTGCTGCTGTCCTGTCTGAGCAGACAGGGGCTGGATGGCCTCCTGGAAGCACTGAGGCAGGAGCTGGCTGCAGTGTGAGTCCCCCTCGCGGCATCCCAGACCTCAGAGGGGGGGCTGTGTGGTCAGCCTCGGTTTCTCTATGACATAGGTAACACCTACCCCTGTTAGTCTGGAAGGTGGAGCGTGACCCGCCTTCTGTCTCTCCCAGGTGCGGGGACCCGTCTGCAGGCCCACCTCTCCTGACTCGCGCCCGGCATCGGCATCACCTGCAGGGCTGCCTGGAGGCCCTTGGTCACTACAAGGAGGCAAGCGACCTGGCCCTGGCAGCCGAGGCTCTGCGGGTAGCCCGGGGACACCTGGCCCACCTCACCGGAGGAGGAGGCACTGAAGAAGTCCTGAATATCATCTTCCGGGACTTCTGTGTGGGCAAGTGAGGGCCAGAGGAGACCAGAGACTCAGGCCCACGCTGAGTGGACTCCTAGGAGCCTCGAGGTCTGGGAAGCGTGGCCAATGATGGAATGCTCCTTCGTCCAGGGGAAAGCTCCATCTGCAAACGGGCATTGAAACCGCTGACCTTCCTAGGTAATGAGCTCCATGTTGCTGGTGGTAACTACGCTGCAGCCAGCCTGATGTCCTGGCAGGGACTAGCTGAGGGTTCTGTATGGAGGTTCCCTGGGGGCACCAAACGGCTGCCAGAGTAGGAGTGGAGGAAGAAGCTCAGAGTTTTCTTTGCTTCGTGTTTTTCGTTTATTTGGAAAATACCAAAGGCACCTAAGTGTCAGCGGGTTGGGAGTAGCGTTGGAACCGGTCCAACTTGGGGGCAGATCATGGCCAGGCTCAGCCCAAATCTGATCCCT